TGCCCAACAAAGCTTCAACCTCAAAGCTTCACCTACAAAGCTTCAACACCAAAGCTTCACCTACAAAGCTTTAAAAAATATATATATATATATATATATATATATTTTTTCGGAAATTCGAAAATTCAAAAATTTGGAAATTCAAAAATTCAAAAAAAAAATCGAAAAAAAAAATTGCCTAGGCCTCCTCTTCTTTGGGCCTAACAACTTTCATAACAAATATATATGAAGAAGGAGTTTTGGGCTACCACTTAGAAAGGAAATGCCTCATTCGTCAACTCCCTCGACCGGAGACTTGGGGGACTCCTACCATATGCTACTGCACCTTGATACTCGGAAGTCTCACGACCACTCAGTGACTTGGATTTTTCAAGTCTCCAAACGAGAAGTTTTCCTCACTCGGGAAATTAAGGGAGCACTACCTCAACCTACATGCTTCACTCACAAAGCTTCAACATACAAGCTTCAACAAAAGGAAAAATTCAAAGAACTTAGTGAAGAAGGCCTTGGTGTATTTTAACACAATACGTTGAAATGAAGCAAAGCTTGTTTATTGATATCTCCGATAAGTTACAAATATGTACATATACATGAATCAAAATAAACAAACAAGAGGAGCCTTCACAAAGGTTGCTCAGGAGAAGTCTCAGCAGTCGGCAGAGCCCCAGAAAGAGGAGGCACCAGAGGGTGATTATTCGGAGCCTCAGTACTAGGCAGAACCCCAGAAGGAGGAGGCACCGAAGGTTGATCATTTGGAGCTTCATTACGCGGTACAGCCCCAGAAGACGAAGGCAATAAATGCCTTTGGAACAAACCCACAAACCTCTGATGATCAAGTAAAATCTGACCATCAGATTCCTGCAGCTGGTCGAGCTTCCTCTTCATGTTTGTAGCATAGTCATGTGCGAGCCTGTGCAACTGTTTATTCTCATGCTTGAGCCCTCTGATCTCCTGTTTGAGACTTATCACTTCAGCCGCCAATGATTCAACTTGGCGGGTTCGAGCAAATAGGCGTTGGGCCATATTAGACACAAAACCTGCACACTGAACACTGAGAGCCAGAGAATCCTTAACAGCCAACTCATCAGACCGTTTGGAAAGTAGTCTGTTATTTTTTGGAGTGAGAAGGTTCCTGGCCACCACCGCAGTGGTCATATCATTCTTCATCACAGAGTTCCCAACGGTAAGAGGACCAGTAAGAGATAAGAATGATGGGCGCCATATGTTGTCTTGAGAAGGCATGGCTGCCTCTTCACCAAAGTTCAAGTCAAAACGACGGTCGGATGGGCCAGACATTCTCAGAAATGATGAAGGAGAAATGAGGTAAAATAAATCTCTGAAGTAAAGGGAAAATTCCTACAAGCAATAACTCTCTGAATGTACTTCTTGCACACAATTAGAAAAGAAAAAGAAAGAGAGTTATATTTAAAGTTACTATGTGTGAAATAAATAAGGACGAGAGGTAAGGGTTTTAGTCGAGTCTCCTTAATTATGTTGGTTCACTTTACACCAAAGGAAGTTTGTGAATTCTTTTCTAATTGATTCTAAATGGCTTAGACTCTGTGGTGGGATTAGTTGGAACTTTTGAAAAAATGTTCTAGTTTTTAAAATTTACTATGGATTGCAACTTTGAAGGTGAAAATTTTTGTTAGTTAATTTTAGCTAGTTAGTTTGTTAAGTTTTTATTTTTGTTTGAGTCTTGTTTTGCTTGAGGACAAGCAAAAAGCTAAGTTTGGGGGTATTTGATGAGTAGATTTTATATTATATATTTTACCCTAATCTTAGTATATTTTGGTTAATATATTGGAAGAATTTTGATACTTTGAATTGTATTTTCAATATAGGACTTTCGACTTCCTCTGGAGCAAAACAAGACCAAATGGACGAATTTTGGAGTAATTCCAGTTGGAGGATGTTCGTGAGTCACTTAGCTTGATCGTATCAAAATTTGGGATTTTTCCACCAAAGCGGTTATTTTCTGGCGATGAAATAAAGAAGCAGTGCGCAGTGCTGGAAAATGACGTTTTTGGGCTTAAATGACGTTTTTGGAGCCCAAGATGACCTCGGATGGGTTCGTGGCCTTCTGGAAAAGTGTTCAGAATATTCCAAACATTAAATCCAGCTATATTGGGCCAGTTTTGAAGCAGCTTATGGGCCAAAACGTGGCTGTTCAGATTTTAGACGAATTTTACTATTAATGATAAGACAATCTGCAATATTAAAATTAGAGAGAAAAGAAAACAGTTTTGAGAGAAATCAAATTAAGAAAACACTAGGGATCCACCTTCACCTAACAATCCTATGAATTTTTACCAATTACTTATGATCTACACATACCACTTTGAAGGTTAGATTTTCCTAATTCATATTCTACTTGGAACCTCCAACATAGAACGTATATCTAACATGCAACCCGTCCGGACGTTCGGATCAAATCTAAACATGAAAGACTCATTATGCTTTATGAAAATCCTTTGAAAAACCATGCAATCCTTAAGACGTGATATTCATCCTAAGTGAAATTACAATTATTAATCACAAGAAGCCAGCGTCAATTTCAGGGAACCTTCCGACCAAAATTGCATCAAATTACTTTTCTAAAGATCCTAATGGTGATCAGGTATTAAAACAATTAGATAGTTTTTATCTCGGTGATTAACAATTCAAAGTACGCATGCAATCAATCATAAGCAATTAACTAAAAATCACATATTCATGCTAAGGCTCAAGGCTTCGCCCTAGCAATAGAAATTAGTTCCGCATACTCATAATTGAAATCATAGAAAATATATTCCAGAAAAGGATTGAAAGCACCTCCAAGTAAAAAGTCTTCAAAACCCTAGCACTTCTCTCTGTCTCCAATATTGCATAAAAATAAAGTGTCATCTAAAACTGTAGACGGCTAAGCAATATATTGCCAAGCCACCACCACAAAACCCTAGCCAACTAAAATTAATAAAAAACCCTAATTAAAAAATAGTAAAATTTCGTCTAAAATCTGAAACAGCCACGTTTTGGCCCATAAGCTGCTTCAAAACTGGCCCAATATAGCTGGATTTAATGTTTGGAATATTCTGAACACTTTTCCAGAAGGCCACGAACCCATCCGAGGTCATCTTGGGCTCCAAAAAACGTCATTTAAGCCCAAAAACGTCATTTTCCAGCACTGCGCACTGCTTCTTTATTTCATCGCCAGAAAAAATAACCGCTTGGTGGAAAAATCCCAAATTTTGATACGATCAAGCTAAGTGACTCACGAACGTCCTCCAACTGGAATTACTCCAAAATTCGTTCATTTGGTCTTGTTTTGCTCCAGAGGAAGTCGAAAGTCCTATATTGAAAATACAATTCAAAGTATCAAAATTCTTCCAATATATTAACCAAAATATACTAAGATTAGGGTAAAATATATAATATAAAATCTACTCATCAAATACCCCCAAACTTAGCTTTTTGCTTGTCCTCAAGCAAAAACAAGACTCAAACAAAAATAAAAACTTAACAAACTAACTAGCTAAAATTAACTGACAAAAATTTTCACCTTCAAAGTTGCAATCCATAGTAAATTTTAAAAACTAGAACATTTTTTCAAAAGTTCCAACTAATCCCACCACAGAGTCTAAGCCATTTAGAATCAATTAGAAAAGAATTCACAAACTTCCTTTGGTGTAAAGTGAACCAACATAATTAAGGAGACTCGACTAAAACCCTTACCTCTCGTCCTTATTTATTTCACACATAGTAACTTTAAATATAACTCTCTTTCTTTTTCTTTTCTTTTTTTTTTCACTTTTTTTTTTTTTTTTCAGTAACAGTAGTGGTCGTGCAATGTCGGTTCACTTAAGCTTTCGATCCAACCCATGTAGCGAGCTTTAGGTCAATGACTCCCAAACCACTAGGGCTTTAGGGCACTAGGTGTAGAACACCCCTAAGGACTTATTAACCCAAGCTGAAAAGGCTACGAAACCAACTAACCACCCTGCCCCATGCCAAAACTCTATCGTTTGACGCGAGAATCACTGCTGATTAGGCAGGACTGGCCCGGTTACTAGGCAAAACCTCGGGTGAGACAATTATTACTTTATTCACAATAATAACTGACTTTACTTAAAACTAAAAATTAAAAATTAAAAATAACTTAGACTAAAAGCAAGTGTTTCAATCTCACTCCCCACAAACCATGTTGGTGTGATGTGCAAAGTTCAAAGTATAATTCATGAATTAGTGTCTAAGCAACGATAAATAGAAAAGACTCTAATGTGGGATTAACCTTCACCATGTCCATTTGTTCTAACGTTTAAAATAATATATGGATATTAACTTAAATAGAATGAAAACTTTTAACCGACACAAAAATTAAAAACCTAAAATGTTATTTTCCTACCCCCAAACTTATTTGACACTTTATCCTCAAGGTGTGGAAAATAAAAAAAAATGACAAAAATGAAATAAACTTAAACTAACATATAATAATTATAAAAAGGGAAAATAAGTAACAAAACCAAAGCAAAGAAAGATAGTACCTGGGCTTGAAATTGAATTGGCTAGTTGATAAATGAGTGGCCGAATAAAAAAAACAAAGAGCCCAATTGTACTACTCATGTGCACGGCACATGTGCACCAAAACCTGTGCACCCATATTGGAAAACATTGGATTCCTTTTTTGAAAGGCATGCAATTGGCATGCCGTGTGACAAGTGGCGTGTAGCTGGCGTCCATAGGATTAGATAAAAGAAAATATGAGATATTTGAATGGCATTGGATACTCTGAGATATTTGAATGGCATGCAGCTGGCATGTAAATTTGAATATGACGTGTGCGATGTCTCATGTCAGAAGAAGAAAAGTCCCTATCAGTCCTCAGTTTTTTTTTTTTTTGTCAATCATTACCACAGAGCCAACGGCTCTCTACCAATGCAAAACCATCCTTCTCAGGTAGCCCGTGAAGCTGAAAATAGGCACACGTGTCGCGCATCCCTCTTCCTACAAACCTTCCATTTTATTTTTCAGCCCTCTCTCTCACTAAAATCAGAAATGGCTCTCAGAAACGCAAAATCCTTCTGTCTCTTAGAAATTAAGCGACCTCCTCTCTCGGATCTCTTCCCTCTCAGCCCCATCCATGGTGGAGTGACACAGGCATGTCTGATTCCTCGCTAAGCATTGCATCCGTGCTGCAACCAATAAATAGCCCAGCTATCTACACACTGCCATGTCTCGGAAATCCAGTACCTCGAGCAGCAAGACCAACAACCTGCTCAGATGAAACCACAGATTGCATCCTGCTCTAGTCTGACACACTATAGGTAGTTTTTATCTCCATCTCCCTTCGATTTTTGTCTCAAGTGCTTAGATTAGGGAAAAATGAATGAAAATTGCCCAATGCATGTGTGTTTCCATGGAAAAATCGAGACTCACAGATCCTCATTGAAAAGGTATGCTTCTATATCCTTGCAACTATGTTTGATAAGAATATGTGAATAAAAATGTGTATATGGTCTCAGTGCCTCAGTATGTTGAATTGGCTTGTTCGTCATGCATGAAGAGATCTATAAATTCATCATGTCTTATTCTCTGTGCCACTTAGATCCCTCAACTTTGTTTCTGCACTCCGCACTGCCTAATCTCATGAATGTAGAGGAATTGATGATGAATGTGCTGGGGGAATAAATGTTGATTGCACCCCCTTAGTTGGGATTAGGCCGAATCAGTTCTGAATGCAACCTGCAATAAAAAACCAAATTAGATAAGTAAAGAAAAATAACAAGAATTAAAAACTGCAATTTTTTTTTCAATTTTCTGATTTTTTTATTTTTGTGATTTTTGTAATTAGGAATAAAAACAGGAAAATAAAATAAACGAAATAAGAAGAAAAGAGTTAGAAAAATTGGGTTGCCTCCCAATTAGCGCTTTAGTTAAAGTCTATAGCTAGACGTAGCGGAAAGAATTGTTGATCATGTCACTTGTTCTTTCAAAGTTAACCACTCTTTAATAACGTCATAGAGCACTGTGCTTCCAAATTTAATGGTTGAATTCTTCTTATACGCCTTTCTTTTTGAATGAATCTTTGTAAAGATATAGGTTCCTTTCCAGCTATGTTTATTTCTCCATCGAGCTGACTTAAATCGTGTATTTAACAGCTATGTTTATTTCTCCATCGAGCTGACTTAAATCGTGTATTTAACACCCATAGTTTCTGCACTGGCTGAAATTTTCTACGAGGAACTTGGCTGTCAATAAGCTTCCTCTTTTCCATATAGATCTTTGCCTGTTTGCATGACTCATCTGGCATTTCTTTGAATTTGATGGGCTGTGCAGGTGCACTGTCTGTTACCGCCACTAAAATTTTCTGATCAGTAAGCAGCTGTCCTGTAATTAGATTTGTCAGAGTATTCATGCATTCTTGCTGCTTAGCGGGTTGCCTTGGAGTCTCGGGAGAGTGCATGAGTGGCACACAGACTTTTGTAGGAGCAGATTCTATGGAATTTTCAAGGTCATCATGGGCTGTTTCCTCCTTTGGACGTGAATAACAGACAGATGGCTTCTCAGTTCCTGCACCAACCTCTTGATCATCATAGCTTTTCCCACGGTTTACTGCTTGAATTTGAAATCCTTCATTTGTTATTTCAATGTATAAGTCAGTTAATTCCAACAATTTAGCGAGCTTGTCCTCCACCGAAAGCTCTTGTGGCACATTAAGCTGCTCGAAATATTGCCCAAGATGCTCTTTCAAACTTTTAGTGTAGAACTCTGAATGGGGATTATTCCAGTTCCATTTTGAATCGATTCTCATATATATATATACTCTTGGACATAATCTGGAAAATATTTCCTCTCAGGACATTGTAAAATATCATGGGTCCTTGAGTTGCAAAGAGCACAAACTGTAGGCTTAAATCCATAATAACCCTTTTCTGCTACTGACACCCAAAGAGGTGGTCCACCGGGTGTTAGATTGAATTCAGGTGGCACTGCAAATTCCATTATTGCATTGCTAAAAAAAAACAAATTGTAACTTACCAACCAAACAAAATCAGCAATTAAATAAAAAGATATATACAGAAATAATTAACCAAGAGTTGTAATCTGAGAAAAATAAAACAAAAACGAAAATTAAATTTTTTATTTTTTTAGATATGTATAAACAGCAATAACGAATTGAAAATCTGATTAGTAGGAATTATTTTAAATAATCCCCGGCAACGGCGCCATTTTCTTGATAGGATTTTTACAACTCATGTGAATGCGATAAAAACCTCTTATTTTACTTGCAAGAATCACAAGGTTATTGTAGTATAAACGGATCTCGCAAGGTCATTCTCCACAGGGATTATTAAATAATTCGAAACAAACCAGATTCCAATTAATGATTGTAAAGTAGAAATTTAGATGATTGATTTTATAACCTACTTAAATTTAAAACGAATTTAACTATTAATGATAAGACAATCTGCAATATTAAAACTAGAGAGAAAAGAAAACAGTTTTGAGAGAAATCAAATTAAGAAAACACTAGGGATCCACCTTCACCTAACAATCCTATGAATTTTTACCAATTACTTATGATCTACACATGCCACTTTTAAGGTTAGATTTTCCTAATTCATATTCTACTTGGAACCTCCAACATAGAACGTATATCTAACATGCAACCCGTCCGGACGTTCGGATCAAATCTAAACATGAAAGACTCATTATGCTTTATGAAAATCCTTTGAAAAACCATGCAATCCTTAAGACGTGATATTCATCCTAAGTGAAATTACAATTATTAATCACAAGAAGTCAGCGTCAATTTCAGGGAACATTCCGACCAAAATTGCATCAAATTACTTTTCTAAAGATCCTAATGGTGATCAGGCATTAAAACAATTAGATAGTTTTTATCTCGGTGATTAACAATTCAAAGTACGCATGCAATCAATCATAAGCAATTAACTAAAAATCACATATTCATGCTAAGGCTCAAGGCTTCGCCCTAGCAATAGAAATTAGTTCCGCATACTCATAATTGAAATCATAGAAAATATATTCCAGAAAAGGATTGAAAGCACCTCCAAGTAAAAAGTCTTCAAAACCCTAGCACTTCTCTCTGTCTCCAATATTGCATAAAAATAAAGTGTCATCTAAAATTGTAGACGGCTAAGCAATATATTGCCAAGCCACCACACAAACCCTAGCCAACCAAAATTAATAAAAACCCTAATTAAAAATAGTAAAATTCGTCTAAAATCTGAACAGCCACGTTTTGGCCCATAAGCTACTTCAAAACTGGCCCAATATAGCTGGATTTAATGTTTGGAATATTCTGAACACTTTTCCAGAAGGCCACGAACCCATCCGAGGTCATCTTGGGCTCCAAAAACGTCATTGAAGCCCAAAAACGTCATTTTCCAGCACTGCGCACTGCTTCTTTATTTCATCGCCAGAAAATAACCGCTTGGTGGAAAAATCCCAAATTTTGATACGATCAAGCTAAGTGACTCACGAACGTCCTCCAACTGGAATTACTCCAAAATTCGTCCATTTGGTCTTGTTTTGCTCCAGAGGAAGTCGAAAGTCCTATATTGAAAATACAATTCAAAGTATCAAAATTCTTCCAATATATTAACCAAAATATACTAAGATTAGGGTAAAATATATAATATAAAATCTACTCATCAGGTGCCCTTATAAAAGAAAGGGCAACATGGTCGTTGGTTCAAAAATCGAAGAGGCACCACTTTCCACACGCAACATCAGCTCTTCGGGTACCACAAATAACTTTGCCAAAGATCTCTGACAAAGTTTAGACACATAAATTTTGAACATCCAGCTACCCTACTATTACCCACAATGGTAAAGGAACAACACCACTGCTTGATAACTAGAAAGTCCCAATGTGTGTCAACCTCCGTGCTCCGTGGCAAGGCAGACTGGCAAAAATGCCTAACCTTTACTCACATTCGAGAAAACACTCCCAACAAGATTGCTTGCTCAAAAATCAAAGAGGCACCACTCTCCAAATCTCGAGAGCCAGACTCCCAACAGAATTACTTTCTAAAAAATCGAAGAGACACTGCTCTCTGAATCTCAAGAGTCAGACTCCCAACAAGATTGCTTTCTCAAAAATCGAAGAGGCACCGTTCTCTGAATCTCGAGAGCCAGATCCCCGACAGGATTGCTTGTTTGAAAAAAGAAGAGGCACCGCTTTCCGAACTTCGAGAGCTAGATTTCCTTGAATAAAGCTTGTCTGCAATCTTCACACGCAACATCAGCTTTCCAAATACCACAGACCACTTTTTCAAAGCACTATGACAAAGTTAAAACATGTGAGGCTTGTAGCTCCCACTACATTGCTATGACCAAGAAGGATAAATGAATAGCATTATTACTTGCTCAAAAATTGAAGAGGCACCGCCCTCCAAATCTCGAGAGCCAGACTCCCAACAGGATTACTTTCTCAAAAATCGAAGAGGCACTGCTTTCCGAATCTCAAGAGCCAAATTACAACCAGAATTGCTTTCTCAAAAATCAAAGAGGCACCGTTCTCCGAATCTCGAGAGCTAGATCCCCGACAAGATTGCTTGTTCGAAAATCGAAGAGGCATCGTTCTCTGAACTTCGAGAGCCAAATTTCCTTGGATAAAGCTTGTCTGTAATCTTCACACGCAACATCAGCTTTCCAGATACCACAGACCACTTTTTCAAAGCGCTCTGACAAAGTTAAAACATGTGAAGCTTGCAGCTCCCACTACATTGCTATGACCAAGAAGGGTAAAGGAATAGCATTATTACTTGCTCAAAAATCGAAAAGGCACCGCCCTCCGAATCTCGAGAGCCAGACTCCCAACAGAATTACTTTCTCAAAAATTGAAGAGATACCGCTCTTTGAATCTCAAGAGCCAGACTCCCAACATGATTGCTTTCTCAAAAATCGAAGAGGCAACACTCTCCAAATCTCGAGAGCCAGATCCCCGACAGGATTGCTTGTTCGAAAACCAAATAGGCATCACTCTCCGAACTTTGAGAGCCAGATTTCCTTGGATAAAGCTTGTCTGCAATCTTCACACACAACATCAGCTTTCCAGATACCACATACCACTTTTTCAAAGTGCTCTGACAAAGTTAAAATACGTGAAGCTTGCAGCTCCTACTACATTGCTACGACCAAGAAGGGTAACAGAATAGCATTATTACTTGTTGTTAGGGAGAATCCTATATATGTCGACCTCCATCCTCCACGGATAGGCAGACCTGCAAAAATGCTCAACCCTTCCTCATATCTGATAGGGCAATCCCAACGAAGCCTCTCGAAATACTCAGCTTTCTTCCCCCCTTCAATAATACCTATGCAAACTAGCCACACCAAAGCAAGAATATCTCATATCATCAGGGTCAAAAGCAAAAGTATCACATATCATGCTTTTTTCCTGTCTTTTCCTTTGGCATTGTTCTTACTTGCAAGACAAGGAGAAAAAGAGCAATCAGTCAGCACTTGGAATCAAGCTTCCAGTCAGGAACTGACTACCTGGAACCCCTTGCCCGATTACTTACCTGCCATTACTCTCGAGTACTCATCTTCAACGTCTTATGCTTCCAGAAAAGATACCACATCTGCCTGAGGAACAGATAGAGCAAGTGAGAAGAATACAAGGAAGCATGTGGAGACAAGCGCAACAGAACACATGCCGATTCATCTATTACTTTGTCAACAACAAAAATACCCCATATCATCAAGGTCGAACGCACTCTTGATTTGATGGACTTGTTTTGACCCTCAAATTCTTGAGTCGGCCTTATACTCTGAAGGAAACCAGAAAACCCTCTAACCCAGTTCAAGAATAAGCATGTGGAAAGTTACTTCTTCAAAAGCAAAAGTATCTCATATCATCTCTTCTCCATTTGCTTCTCCTTATCCTTGTTGCTGTTTACGACACAAGGAGAAGGAGAACAATCAACCGGAAGCCGAAGTCGAACCTCCGATCCAGGTTGCTTGCTTGGAAGTCTGATTGCTTACCTTGTCTGTTAACTCTTTCGGCAAATCTCCTAGCTCGGCGACTTGGGGGACTCCTACTATAGGGTTTTGTATCGCATTTGACCAAGCCCGAAACTACAAGTAAGCTTCAACTGAAATTGATACATTACCTTGTGTATCTTCATCGGTTAAAGATACCACCCCTGGATGGAGGAAAAGTACTTCTAGAGAAGATGCCACATCTACGTATGAGACAGATAAGACAAATGGAAATGATACCACACTTCGGTACTTAGAAGTTTCGTGATTACTCAATGACTTGGATCTTGCAAGTCCCCAACCGAGGAGCTTCCCTCACTTGGGAACTTAGGGGAGCACTATTTGTACCATACTTGACCAATGCCGAAACTACTGAGCATGGTCAACGTTATACCGTCAAGGACCCATAAGAGTTTCCCTACAACTAGGAGGCCAATCACAGCGTGACACGTGTCGACATCAGAAGACAATCATAGCGCGACACGTGTCAACATCAGAAGCCAATCACAACACGACACGTGTCAATGTCAGAATGAAACTAGAAACTCTCTTCTATAAATAGAGATCATTCTCTCACAATATTTCCTAATATCATTTGTACTAAAGCATTCACTAGTACTCACTAAATGAGAGCTTGAACCTATGTACTTGTGTAAACCCTTCACAATTAATGAAAACTCCTCTACTCCGTGGATGTAGCCAATCTGGGTTAACCACGTACATCTTGTGTTTGCTTCCCTGTCTCTATCCATTTACATATTTATCCACACTAGTGACTGGAGCAATCTAGCGAAGGTCACAAACTTAACACTTTCTGTTGTATCAAAGTCCCCATCGATTTTGTGCATCAACACAAATAAAGAAAGATAAACAAACACTAAGACGCTGACGTCACTTAAACCAATCTCACCCAATTTTTATAGCAGATTAACCATTATTACTATCATGTTGACAGTTGATTTTCCCTAAATTATTGGCTTAAATGTTAAAATGGTCTCTGTGTTATAGTCATATGGCCAATTTAGTCTTCATGTTTTGGAATGTAGTCCACGTGTTTGTCTATTGTAGCCAATTAAGAACATTTCATTCGATCTCTTTTACAAAATTCATAAAAAAAAAATTATATGAGATATAATTACCCTTTCTCTTTACAGAAAAATGAAAATCAATGAGAAGTAACACATATAAGAGATCAAACTTCCAATCTGAAAAATGATTAAGGTTGTGATATAGAAAATAGAGGGGATAATGTTAGGGAGGAAGGAGGAGAATAATTTTTCTTTTAATTTTTAATTTTATTTCATTTTTAAATATTTTAAATCAAACAAATAATTTTATAAATAAGTTTATAATAATTTATAAAAAAAAATTATGGAAATTAGATGGAAATGTCTTCAATTGACTAACGGAGATAAACACAAGGACCAAATTGGGCAAATTGAAAATACAGGGACTAAATTGACCCAATGACTAAAACATAGAAACCATGGAAAATCCGTATTGGTGATTACGACTCATTCTCTTCTGAGCAACAAATTTAGAAAATCAAAAACCTATTACGCACTATGAAAATCCGTATAAGAAACTGCATGAATCATGTTAGTTCATTAATTCCTAACTCTCATTCAAGACATAACATTCATTATAAGAAGCTATATATTGGACATTTCCTTTCGATCTCAACCTAATTCTTCTAATCAAACTAGTGATCAATTAATTGCAAGCATTAAGAGCAGTAACTAACATTTAACATGAAATAATAATAAGAAATTAAGCATAAACTTCGAGTATTCATAACAAAGCTACATCTTAGATCTAGCAAAAGAAAATTAGTTCATGATAAATTCCTACACGGCTCACTTCTGCGGCAAATCTATGAACTCCAATTTAGTCCTACTTGTTTCATGAATCTACAACATATTAGTGAATAAATACAATTGCTATGACATAAATAAACTGATAATAACACGTGACAATTTGGACGAACGTCGCATTGTATTTGGTTTCTTAGCCAAGCACCACTACGTGGCAGGGAATGATTGGGCAGTGGGTAATGAGACCAAAATACCCTTTTTATTACAGGTACACACCTGTAAAAAGAAACTGGATTCTTAACATCTGTTGGGAGTTGGGACAATTGAGTGGATGAGGCAACAGAAAAGAGAAGGCAGGAGAGAAAGAAAAGCAAAGCAAAAGAAAGAACAATGGTTCTTCTCTCTCCTTCTCTCTCCCTCTTCCCTTCCAACCATGTTCTTCCTCCAAATATCCTTCCCAGGTACTTTTTCTCATATGTCTGAATTTATCTACTTACTTTCTCTGTAATTTTTTTTAAAATTATTATCTTCCTAAATTATTATTTTTATTGGTAATTCAGAGAGCAAGGTAGGATTGTGATGCAGCAGCTGAACAAATGGCAAATAAGTTCAAGTGGGAACTCAAAACCCAGTTTACAAGATGGCTTTTGCAGGAGAGAGTTACTGCTGTTTGGCATTTCTGCTCCAGTTTTACTAGTCTTACCAGCTTCAGGTGACCTTTTTGAAGTTGCACGGGTTGGTTTTTTGCTTCGTTATTTGTGAAAAAAAATGAGAATAATTTAGGGTGCCTTTGGGACTGCTTATGTAGGAAGCACTTCTGCTTATAACCTCTTTTGCTAGGAGTGTTTTTCTTAGAACAACATCGAAATTTTTATTAAACAAGAAAGTGCTTTCTCCAAGTAGTTTAATTTCTTCTACCAAACGTGGTCAATAGCGCATTTCGCGATCCCACAATCCTCTCAAATGTATAGACCTTTTGTTTTTCTGGCAAAGTAGGGTTTTATTTTCATGGAATATACACAGAAAGTAAGAAAATTTATCTTCATTTCATTTATTTATTTGAAAATGTATTGTTGTGATACATTTATATTTTATTTTTGCAATTAATAATTACCAAAACAAATCCAATGTTGCAGGGTCCCTTGCAGAGGAAGACTTGAAAATGGCTTCATTTGTTGATGACATAAATTCATATTCTTATCTATACCCTACGGAGTTGCCATCCAAGAAGGCCCTTTTCAAGTGGTATGTATTTTGCCCCTTTAAATAAAATGCTGATATTAGCTTTTGGTAAGCAAACTAGTTGAGTTCTTCGCAATTATCGTTGGCGTATAAACTGTAGGAACCTGACTCTTTTTATCTGTTTCAAGGGTGGAATCGAGAAAGCCAGAGCGTTATTCATCAGCTGCACCATTATCTCGTAAGTTCAGCTTCATATGTAGAATGATGATCACCATATATCTGTATCCGTGTTATGGTAATGGCCATGGACGTCAAACTTAATTCATACTCACTGGGCACTGTGTTATATATTATGCAGCTGATGCGCGCCTGCGCATTGTTTCTGAGCGTGTTGACATTGTTGATAATCTCATCATTTCTATTTCGGTAACTCCTGATAAGATCACTACTCGTTAAGTGCAAATCCCTTTAGTTACATTGCATAGGTTTATAATTGAATTTCCTTTGATTCAGATAGGTCCCCCGAATTCAAAGATTATAAAATCACAAGACAAGAGTACATGGACTGCGAAAGATGTTGCTGATTCTGTTTTGGCTGACAAGTCTGCATTGGTAATGTACCACTCGGATCTGATCTAAAAGCATTTGGTTCTAAGGCTGATTAGCAAAAATTAGTGTTGCCAATTTACCTTCAATTGTTTTGAGTAGAGTAGCGTGTAAAAAAGGGTATTGTGGTTGGACGAGATGGAGCAGTCAAATGTACATAACCGACATTTGGGAGAATATTGTTCCATAATATTGAGTCTTGGAAGTTGTTGAGTTGATGGTCCTTTGAACTTACATGCTACAGTTTTCTGCAGCGTGTCACCTCAACTCAGCGGCAGGCTGAGAGTCAAGTCCTGGATGCACACACTGGTGAAGTAAGCTTCCTGCTCCTTTTCTGGTTTATGCGGCTGAAACTGTCATTCTAAAATCTACTTGGTAACAATGTAATATATATGTGCATATGAAGCTTGGCTCATTGTTTTTCCTCAGATTGATGGTCAGCCATACTGGTACTATGAGTACCTTGTTCGCAAAGCACCCACAAAAACTGTAAGCATTTTTTTAAGGAGGAGAGATATTTGATATACTGTTCTGATTTCTTCATGATTCTTACAACAGTTACAAATCGTGCAGGCTGACGAATCTACCAATTATAGACATTATGTGGCCTCAACAACTGAACGAGATGGTAGGAAAAATGTTTCTAGTGCAAAACGTATGATTTTCATGTCACTCTCTTTTTTCATCCTCCACGGGACCACGGATTATGCATTCTTAAGGGGGAGGCCGGAGGCGATGCCATTTGGCTAAAAAAGTAGATAATAATACAATTTAAAACCTCTCATTGAATCATGCGAAAACTCGATTGCAGGTTACCTGTACTCTATTAATGCTTCAACCCTCAATAAGCAGTGGAACATAGTAAATCTCTCTCTCTCTCTCTCTCTCTCTCAATCGAATTTTGTTGATGTTTATATCTTCTGCTTCCAGGTTATACTGATGTTCATGTTATGTGATGCAGGTGGGGCCTATCTTACAAAAAACAGTAGCTTCATTTCGCCTTCTCCCTCCCACAGAAAACTACGTTCCTCCATTCAAGGATCCGTGGAGATTCTGGTGACAAGTTCATTCGATTTTGTCGTCCCACTAGTGCAAAACTCAAGATTTTTAAACAGAGTCACTATATTCCTGTCGAGATTTTGGCCTTCAGTTCCATTACGTTATCTTCGGGTTCACTATGAGTAAAGGGTAGTTGACAAATTTTGTATGTAACAATTGGTTGCATTTTATTCATAGCTGATTGATTCAGTTGTTTCGGTGTTTTGACAAATCCCACATCGGCTGAGAGCAAAGAGTGAGGGTGAGAAGATTGGTATAAAAATGGTGGAGGAGGGAGTTGAAACATACTTACCTGGACAAGGTCGATGGGCGATCAAGAAGGCCCATGGCCTAGAGTTGGTGACCTCCATTGCACGTAGGAGGGGTGCCACTCTATGGTCTCCCTAAGAGGGAGAACCAATGTCGTAATTTGTGACAGCGGGGGCCTGCGTTCGCGCGGCCCCTGACTAAATTTTAGTATAAAAAGGCTACTTGTGTAGTCTGTCTTCTAAAAGCACTAATGCACTTTCAGTTAACCAAAAGCCAAGTAACTTTCATGTACTGAACGCAGGTCCCTGACTAAATTTTAGTATAAAAAGGCTACTTATGTAGTCTGTCTTCTAAAAGCACTAATGCACTTTCAGTTAACCAGAAGCCAAGTAACTTTCATGTACGGCTAATAAATGTGCTTAAGCAAAAGTACTTTCTAGATAGCATTTCCAAAAGAATTTTGGTCCTTCCATATTCGCTTCTAAACACTTTGGAGAGTAGGCTTGGCAAACGGATTGTCGGATTGTGTTTAACAAGTGAACCAATAATCACCCGATTTGTTAACAGTGTTGTTTACCTGTTATCTTAACAAGTGAACCAATAATCATCCGACTTGTTAACAGTGTCATTTTGTGTACGGTTAACAGGGTCATGCAAAAATTGACATGCCTAATTGTATATATCTAGTAAAAAAAAATATCCTATTTGGTTTTGACAGATGACCAGATAACGACCTGACATGTTAATAAATTCTTAACGGAGTAGAATAAGTTTGAAAACATCATGTTTGAGCGAGATCCGGGCTTATGTTCCACTGTCATTGCTGTTGGGAACAAGGATGTCATTTCTTGTGCCCTTTCCCCCACATACAGCATATCACCGGTTATTTCTCTGAAGTACATTGAAGTGATTTTTGGTGTTTACAGGAGACGACGACGTCATGACAGAAAATGAAATTGAGCACGAACTAGTTGCAGAGGCAGAAAATGCATGGGCTCAGCGCAAATGGTCAATCCAGCATGTTTTGTTTCCATCAATGAGGCTCTTTTTCAAGCCACCAAATTCTATGGCTACAAACGGAACATTTGTACGGGTATGCTACATTTCTTTACGAGCCAAAGACATACCTTAATTAATTACTCCAGGATTCTTCAGATTATTTCAGTACGCTGGGCTAGCTTGGTCACTCACCTTACGCTTAATCCTGCACAGGTAGCTTCACTGGAGAAACTATACCGGATTTTCGAAAGATGCTGACTCCATTCATCAGTGTAATGGCAGACGGCAGTACGCAGAAGGCTCTTGGCTCTGTAAAGATGTTGACGCCATTCATCGGTATAATTTTGGGATAACATACTAGTTAAGGGGTGGGAAAAAGGATTTTGAAAACGAAGAAGATGCCAAATGAGTGGCGAACGAGCACTTTGGTGCCTATCTACAAGAATAAGGGCGATGTACAAAATTGCATGAACTATAGGGGTATTAAGCTAATGAGTCATACAATGAAGCTCTGGGAGAGAGTCATTGAGTATAAATTGAGGCAAGAGACACGGGTTTCGGACAACCAATTCGGGTTCATGCCAGGGCGCTCAACCATGGAGGCAATCTATCTCTTACGAAGATTGATGGAAAGATATAGAGATGGGAAAAAGGATTTACACATAGTCTTTATAGATTTGGAAAAAGCGTATGATAGGGTCCCAAGAGACATTCTTTGGAGGATTTTAGAGAAGAAAGGAGTACGAGTAGCATATATCCAAGCTATACAGGATATGTACGAAGGAGCAAAGACTGCCGTAAGAACTCATGAAGGACAAACCGAAAGCTTTCCCATAACTGTAGGATTACATCAAGGCTCATCCTTAAGTCCTTACCTTTTTGCGTTGGTAATGGATGAGTTAACAGGACATATTCAAGATGATATTCCTTGGTGTATGCTTTTCGCAGACGATATAGTGTTGATAGATGAAACTCAAGAAGGGGTAAATGCAAAGCTTAACCTTTGGAGAGAAGTGTTGGAATCTAAAGGTCTTCGCCTAAGCCGATCAAAGACAGAATATATGGAGTACAAGTTCAGTGCAAATGAAGGCCAAAACGAGTTAGGGGTGAAGATCGGAGATCAAGAAATACCAAAGAGCAATCGTTTTCGTTAACTAGGATCTATCTTGCAAAAGATTGGAGAATTAGATGGAGATCTCAACCATAGAATACAAGCTGGATGGATGAAGTGGAAGAGTGCATCCGGCGTGTTGTGACCGCCGTATGCCACTGAAGCTCAAGGAAAAATTTTATAGGACAACAATAAGGCCGGCGATGCTGTATGGCACAGAATGTTGGGCGGTGAAGCATCAACACGTACACAAAATGGGTGTAGCGGAGATGAGGATGCTTCGTTGGATGTGTGGGCACACGAGAAAGGATAAGATTAGGAATGAGGATATCCGGGGTAAAGTAGGAGTAGCCGAAATTGAAGGAAAGATGAGAGAAAATCGGTTACGGTGGTTTGGACATGTGCAAAGAAGGCCTACTGACGCTCCAATTAGAAGATGCGACTATGGGACAGAGGTTCAGGGCCGAAGGGGTAGAGGAAGACCTAGGAAAACTTTGGAAGAGATCCTAAGAAAAGACTTAGAGTACTTGAATCTAACGGATGACATGACACAGGATAGAACACAATGGCGTTCTAAGATTCATATAGCCGATCCCACTCAGTGACTTGGATTTTCCAAGTCTCCAACCAAGAAGTTTTCCTCACTCGGGAAATTAAGGGAACACTACCTCAACCTACATGCTCCACTCACAAAGCTTCAACATACAAGCTTCAACAAAAGAAAATTCAAAGAACTTAGCGAAGAAGGCTTTGGTGTATTTAACACAATACGTTGAAATGAAGGAAAGCTTATTTACTGATATCCCCGATAAGTTACAAATATGTACATATACTTGAGTCAAAATAAACAAACAAGAGGGAGCCTTCACAAAGGTTGCTTAAGAGAAGTCTCAGCAGTCGGTAGAGCCCCAGAAAGAGAAGGCACCGGAGGGGGATCATTCGGAGCCTCAGTACTGGACAGAACCCTAGAAGGAGGAGCCATCAGAGGTTGATCATTTGGAGCTTCATTACGCGGTACAGCCCCAGAAGACGAAGGCAATAAATGCCTTTGGAACAAACCCACAAATCTCTGATGATCAAGTAAAACCTGACCATCAGATTCCTTCATCTGGTCAAGCTTCCTCTTCATGTTTGTAGCATAGTCATGTGTGAGTCGGTGCAACTGTTTATTGTCATGCTTGAGCCCTCTAATCTCCTATTTGAGACTCATCACTTCAGCCGCCAATGATTCAACTTGGCGGGTTCGAGCAAATAGGCGTTGGGCCATATTAGACACAGAACCTGCACACTGAACACTGAGAGCCAAAGAATCCTTAACAGCCAACTCATCAGACCGTTTGGAAAGTAGTCTGTTATCTTTGGGAGTGAGAATGTTCTTGGCCACTACCGCAGCGGTCATATCATTCTTCATCACGGAATCCCCAACGGTAAGAAGACCAGTAGGGGAGACGAATGATGGGTGCCATATGTTGTCTGAAGAAGGCGTGGCTGCCTCTTCAACAAGGTTCAAGTCAAAACGACGGTCGGAGGGGCCAGACATTTTCAAAGGTGTTGAAGAGAGAAGAGGTCGGACAAATCAAGATTTTAGAAATGCAAGAATGGAGCTTCTACTGGTGGATATTCAAGTGTGTTTTGGAACTTAATGTCAGCCCCTATAAAAATCTGCACTCGACGAAGCTTCAGAAATCGAAGAGGCGCCTGCTCAGAATTCGAAGAGGCGTTTGCTTTCTCAAAAGCTGGGCTGCTCAGAGACCACGAGGGTCGATCTCAGAAATCGAAGAGGTGTTTGCTTTCTCAAAAGCTGGGCTACTCAAAGACCACGAAGGCCGATCTCAGAAATCGAAGAGGCTTGCTTTCTCAAAAGCTGGGCTGCTCAGAGACCACGAGGGCCGATCTCAAAAATCGAAGAGGCACATACTTTTCCAGCCTTGTCAACACCTGTCACACGCACACTTAGCTTTGCGGAAATTATGGGCATTCTGTCGACGATTTTTGGCGAAGTAGAAAGAACATGAATCGTACTGTTCAATCACCCACTTCCCACATGCAACAGTAGCTCATGGGTACCATAGATAACTTTGCCAAAGTTCTCTGACAAATTTGAGACACGTGAAGCTTGCAGCTCCCACTACATCGCTCTGACCAAGAAGGGTAAAAGAATAGCAAAGAAACAACACTAACAAAGTTTAGACACATAAATTTTGAAGGTCTAGCTACCATATTATTACCCACAAGGGTAAAGGAACAGTACCACTGCTGGATAATTGGAAAGTCCCGGTGTGTCAACCTCTGTGCTTCGTGGTAAGGTAAACTAGCAAACATGCCCAACCTTTACTCACATTCGAGAAAACACTCCCAACAAGATGGCTTGCTCCAAAATCGAAGAGGCACCGCCCTCCGAATCTCGAGAGCCAGACTCCCAACATGATTACTTTCTCAAAAATCGAAGAGATGGTAAAGGAACAGTACCACTGCTGGATAATTGGAAAGTCCCCCTGTGTGTGTCAACCTCTGTGTGCTTCGTGGCAAGGTAGACTAGCAAACATGCCCAACCTTTACTCACATTCGAGAAAAACACTCCCAACAAGATTGCTTGCTCCAAAATCGAAGAGGCACCGCCCCCCGAATCTCGAGAGCCATACTCCCAACATGATTACTTTCTCAAAAATCGAAGAGAGGGTAAAAGAACAGTACCACTGCTGGATAATTGGAAAGTCCCTGTGTGTCAACCTCTGTGCTTCGTGGCAAGGTAGACTAGCAAACATGCCCAACCTTTACTCACATTCGAGAAAACACTCCCAACAAGATTGCTTGCTCCAAAATCGAAGAGGCACTGCCCTCTGAATCTCGAGAGCCAGACTCCCAACATGATTACTTTCTTAAAAATCGAAGAGAGGGTAAAGGAACAGTACCACTGCTGGATAATTGGAAAGTCCCTGTGTGTCAACCTCTGTGCTTCGTGGCAAGGTAGACTAGCAAACATGCCCAACATTTACTCACATTCGAGAAAACACTCCCAACAAGATTGCTTGTTCCAAAATCGAGGAGGCACCGCCCTTCAAATCTCGAGAGCCAGACTCTCAACATGATTA